AAAGAGACGGCAGATGGGTAGAGGCCTAAGCAGCCTCAAGCCCAACTCACCACCAGCACCTGCTTTCATTTGCTCTCATTATGTCTGCAATGCTCAACAGCAGCACAATGGAGCAGGAGAGAGTCAGCAGCACTCAAACTACAACAAGGTCAATTCTCTCTCTCAGTGAAACGCCCACATTTGATGGGATTATTTTTTCCCACCAAAAATCATAAATACTGCTCAGCTGATATGAAATTTTCAATGGCCTATGCTAATAGTGATAGCTAGATGGCTAATATAATACCAATTATTGAGATTTTTTTTTAGTTGTTTGCCAAATTTTTCTTAGATTGCAATTATGTAATCATTGCTTTAATGTGTTCATTGTTTTTACTTAAATGAATATGTTATGTTAACTAACTGCATGATTTGTATCCTCTTAAAACTGTACATTTATGCCAAATGGGCATTACTTTGACACAGCCACCTCTGATAATAGATCAATATTACTTGTAATGTAGAAACATACATTTTCTGTGAAGCTGCTTTGAAACAATATGCGTTGTGAAAAGCTCTTTACAAACAGATTCATTATTATTATATTGTCATTAGTTTTTAAAAGTAAGCAATAAATGTAAGTTTCTGAGAAAAAATGTATTTTAATTTAAACAAATATGAAAATGTTTTTCTTCCAGTTACATCTCATCGTACTCTTAATATAAAGGTAATATTTTCAAGAAAATATATTTTTTTTTTTACTAAAAAATTTTGTACAATGCCAATATAAAATCCATTTGTTTGTTCATGTAATTTTCTTAAAATATTTGATTTCAAAACCTCTGACATTTGATCTATTATTGAACATAGAGATAATTTTTTGCTCATTTGAAATGACTATTTAATTTCCTACCCCTCCCCAACATAATTTTCCATCTTCTCACTGTTCCCTAAAAAAAAAAGTGGAAAAAAAGGCCAAAAATAAATGTATAAAAGTTTTGTTTAACTTCAAGATATCATGACAAAAATGTATTACTATCATACAGTGGAATGTACTTTTCGAAGTAATAACAATAAAAAAAAAAAAAAATACAGTTTATTAAAACATAATGTTTTAAAGAATATCACAAATTTTCTTCCATGTTTTAATATAAGCTGTAAACTGTTGTAGAGTACTTTGCCATAAACTGCAAGGAACTGTTCAAATTTCATTTAAAGGGGTCATATGATGCTATTTTAAAGATCATTATTTTGTGTATTTGGTGTAACAGAATATGCTTTAATGTTCAAAAAAAACATTATTTTTCAAATACTGTACATTATTGTAGGTCCTCTATGCCCCGCCTCTCTCAAACACGTCGTTTTCAACAAAGCCCCCTCCTTTGACAAGCGCAGTCTGCTCTGATTGGCCAGCTGACCCAGTGCATTGTGATTGGCCGAACACCACAATTTAGGTAGGCGTGGCTGACTCTTAACTTTTATAAAGAATATCTCTTTGGATTTGAGACTTTAGTCTTTGCAACTTTACAGATCTTCTTTATGCACCAAGAGCTTGTAACACTCCAAAGAGAAAGGAAAACTTGAAATTGCATCATATGACCCTTTAATTACATTTTTAAAGATTAATTAAATGGTTAAAGTTTTATGCATTCATTTGATTTCCACAATTTTTGATAATACATTTAATTTAAACCTTAAAAGAATCCAGAAAAATAAAAACAGAGGGCAGAATGCAGTTATTTCATTACAGCATGACATGGCTCATTGAATTTTTAGGAATTTTGCAGACGCAACGCTACGCTTAGCAACTGACCTTCACTTCCAGTTTCCTTGTGAGTCAGTCAGTGCCGCATTTCAGTGTAGACAGTGATGGAGAGGCTCTTGTTTGGCCCTGGCCCTGGATTCAACAGTACCATAAAACGCGGCGTAAGCCTGGCGGAAAAAATGATTCATTGCTTTTACAGTCCCATAAACTCTTGCCTCATCTGTCAGAAAGTGACAAGGCTGCCACCGCAAGTTCACTAACCATTTTTTGCTGATGCTGCCATGGATTTGGACCCCGTGATGAGTCACGCCAGCTTGAAAGGTGATGGCTAAATGCCTGATAGTCTGATACATCAGCATTTGTTCAGCTATTTAAGACCCGTTGCCTGCCAGCCAGAGTTCAGTGGTTTAAAATTGTTGTTCTCCTCAGAGGCTTGTGCAGTTACTAAACATTTAGTGGACACTTTTATCCATTGCCACTTATAGTGCACTTATTACAGGAGCAAGTCCTTCTGGAGAAACCTGAAAGTAAGTGCCTTACTCAAAGACACAATGGTGATAATTCATGATTTGCTTTTTGTTGGAATCAAAGCAGTTATCTTACTGTTACCAGAAAGCTGGTATCCACATGTTATATGATAATTGTCATGATCATAAAAATAGCATAAACGATTACAACTAATCATGAGAGCATTCATATGTTTGAATAGCAATTCTAAGGTCAACATGAAACAGCGTTTGCAACTTTTTTTTAAACTTCTGTAATGAGATGTTTTTCCATATGAAACAGGGTATTCAATGAAGAAAGGGGCAGTCTGCAACTTGATATTATGCATTACATCATGAAAAGTGGTCAATATGTTCAATATATGAGATGGATAAAGGTAAGAGGTTGAATAATGAGTTTTTACATTTTGATTGTAAAGGCATGTCACTATTAAAAAAATTGAATAATTGTTTTTTTTTATATTTTGAAAGAAGTCTTATGCTCCTCAAGGCTGCATTTAATTGATGAAGAAATACAGTAAAAACAGTAATATTGTGAAATATTATTACAATTTAAAAGAACTGTTTTCTATTTTAATATATTTTAAAATGTAATTTATTTCTATGTTGGCAAAGCAAAATTTTCAGCAGCAATTAATTTAGTCTTTAGTGTCACATAATCTTTCCGAAATCTTTCTTATTAGGGGTGGGCGATACGACCAGAGTCTTATTTCACGAGATGAGAAATTTTATTTCAAATTAATGATATATATCACAATATAGTTATTTTTGATATATATTTTTTTGTCATTCAAAATAAAAACAAAGAAGCAATTTACAAACAATAGGATAAATACAATAGAAAAAATACGTTATTTAATATGTAGTAAGAAATACTGCAGAAATTGAATAATCAAATGTAAAAATAAAAAGCTGCATAGTCTTCAGTGTATGAATTACATATACATTTATTCTTATTAAATTTACAATAGTTAATTTGTCAAGAGCAGTAAGTTTTTTTCCTTTTTTTCTTTTGTTGTTTGATGAACATTAATGAATTTAGAGTTCCACTAACCTGCTGCGCAGCAGTAACAGAAAGACTCTAGACAATGCCTTTGAATATGATTTAATCATTGCCGGGAGGACTGTGTAACAAAAAGAATATAACAGTTTATAGAGCATAGGTGCATGGCAAAGATGACACAATTCATTACATAATTTTTCTCTAATATAATTGGTTCTTATGTGCAATTCTGCAAACCTCTCCTCTGTTACTGGCATAACACATTTGTTTTTTTGATAACTTCAGCTTGCTACTCAAGTCATGGGTTGTTATGGTTATTTTTATATTCAGACATACGTCTAGCCGTCTTGTCCATATGCATCCATTATTGCAACACACTAACTAAAGTGTTGATACATTTTGTTCTCAAAAACATACAAATGGTAGGCCTGCACGGTAGAGGAGTTTTAGTTGTGATTAATTTAAAATGATTAATTTAAAACAATTTCCTTCACCACACTTAATAAACCCTACTTGTATGAGCCTTTTTTCCCCGTTTAGATGCTGTCTATAGGATATTTTGAATCTATTTCACAAAAATGACTGTTTGGTCCAAATTATGAATCCCTTTTCAAAACAAATACATAATTGTGATAAATGCTGAATATTGTAAACGGATAATAATAAGAAAAAAATAAGAAGAGAGAACTTTAAGTTAGATTTACCAACTATGTGATAGCACACTACATGGTGTCTGTAATATGTTTGTGTCTGTGTGTGTTCACAGTTTCTGTGGGGATTGTCTACAGCCGTGTTTGCAGGTGACATCGCCTCTCTGTCCCCTCTGCCGTATGCCTTTCGATCCAAAGAAAGTGGACAAATCCCCCAGCGTGGAGAAGCAGCTCTCTTCATATAAGGCTCCATGTAGAGGGTGCAGCAAAAAGGTTAGTCCTTGTGCTTACAGAAATAAATATGAATTTAAAAAAAACTGGGCATAGTACCACAAGGCATGTTCCTCTGAACAGTGCAGCTGTCATTATATAAGGCATTTACACTAAAACTTGCTTCAGGGACACTAAAGCACGACATCCTGACTCTCCCGCAGGAGCCGTTCAAAAATGCATTGACAGTTTAAAGGGGTCATATGATGCTATTTAAATTTTTCCTTTCTCTTTGGAGTGTTACAAGCTCTTGGTGCATAAAGAAGATCTGTAAAGTTGCAAAGACTAAAGTCTCAAATCCAAAGAGATATTCTTTATAAAAGTTAAGAGTCAACCACGCCTACCTAAAACAGCTCGTTCTAACATGCCCCCACATGTCTACGTCACGATGTGGGAAGATTTGCATAATGCCACCCAAATGTTTATGCAAAGAAAAGTTTATGTAGTATTGTTGTTGCCACGCCGCCATGTCGTGGAGATGATGTGTGTTTCGTTATGAAAGCGAAACTACTTTGTTTGGCCTTCCAAAAGAGGACACGACTAGAAATCAGTGGTTAAGTTGTATTTACAACACTGTTCCGGAACAGTTCAACCCAAATATTCAGATGTGTGCAGCTAATTTTATGGAGGACGAGGACTGTTTCCTGTGAGAGTAGCCTACAATGCCGGTGTCTGTTTCTATAAAGTGGGGCAGTTCCAACTTTGCAAGGACAGTCTGGTGCTTCTGACTCGCAGCCTGTAAGTACGTTTTCATATTTAAAGAATTTGCCACTGACGATTCAAACGCGAGTTTTGAGCAGTGCAGAGTAGCGCTTGTTGTTTGCCGTTTCTCCGATCACAAATGCAGACATGGTTTTATGTTTACGGGAAACGGCATCACAGTATGTTAAGGGGCGTAACATTTCCGTCACACGCTTGAGGAATTCGGCCAATCACAACGCACTGGATAGCTGGCCAATCAGAGCACACCTCGCTTTTCAGACCGATGAGCTTTGTAAAAATCGACACGTTTCAGAAGGGCGGGGCATAGAGGAGCAACAATAATGTACATTGTGGAAAATAATGTGTTTTTTTAACCTTAAACCGCATAAACACATTGCATTACGCCAAATACACAAAATAATGTTCTTTTTAGCAACGTCATATGACCCCTTTAATGGTAAATAAAAGTTAAAGCAAAACAAGCACAGCCCAGCAACTACAATCTGACACACTGAGATGTCCTGATTTGCCATTGCGAGCTTAGAAAGACCACTGAAAACTTTTATTGTGTTAGTGCTCACTGTTTTGTGTGATTTGACACCGCAATTGTTTTAGATATTTTAGTTTCATAAAGTCAGCAAAACATGACTGCTGGATTTAAAAACATGACCAGCAATGAATTTCAACCACTGTCTCTTTACATCCTCATCCTTTGGAAACACATGCATCATGGTTTTACTTGCGCTGTGCCGGAAACAGTGTCTTCTAGACATTGCAACAACACGAACTGAACTCTTCCAGGCCTTAGCTACAACCACAGTGTTTGGTGGCAGGTCAAAGTACACATGAAGACCAAAGGCATGCATTATGCAGATTTGTCACAAAGCTTCTTAGGTTTGCAACAGAAGTAAGTTTTCAATTACTGATGAATCATTTCAGGCAGTTCAGAAATAATAACTCCATTTGTCATGCACTTTGATCTTTGCTGACCTTTTATATTCACAAACAGCTATATTACTCACTACATAAAAGGTAATATCCGAAAAAGCATAATAGTGGCACTTTAATCACAGCGCAAGTTACTCACTTTGTTTTATTATGTCCCTTTGAATATCCCAGGTCACCCTGGTCAAAATGCGGTCACATATTTCATCTTGCACAAAGGTTCAGGAACAGATGGCTAATTGCCCAAAGTTCATGCCTGTGGTCCCCACCTCACAACCCATTCCCAGGTAAGCATCACTCCAGGGATCATTTGAGGTCAGGTTGACATAATCATGGAAAATAACCTTGTTTTTCTTTTCATCAATTATCTCAATTCTCTCATCATCAACTTTTTTGTTTTGTTTTTGCTCTTGTGAATGTTGCTTGCTAGTGTGACTACACTTTGGAAAGATGCAGGGTTTCAAATGTTTTTGTCTGTAAATCAGTTAAATAAATAGGAAAGTAATGCACATATCTGAAAAAGTATGACGCAGCTGTAGTGTCATGTAAAAAAAAAGATCGGGACAATACATTTATAATTTGAGATTAAAGTAAAAAATATGTGAATAAAGTCGTAGTATTTCGAAAATAATAGCAATATGAGATTAAAATTATAATATTTATAGTATATTAGTGGCATCGTTACTGTATTGTGCAGACCCGGACTGGCCATGGTGACTTATTTCCCTGCTCATTTTCATTTATTTATTTACTTAATAGGCTATTTATTATTATTTAAAATGACTGCCTGCACAATGCACCCAAGTGATTTCAGGATTCAATATGAAAACAAAAGTAATAAATGATGAATCTGCTTTAGTCTTGACTTGCAATGCTATCATTTGCCTCATCCCCAGTGAAAGGTTTCCATAAGGAAAAGCTCTCTATGAAGACACAGTGGAATGCAGCAACCCAGGTGGCTTTTCTCTATGGATCTTAGCTCTTAAGAGGGTTTTCTATGTGCAAAGGAATGTTCCAATGCTGGTGAAAACACCTTTGGTTATAAAATAGAAGTAAATTATTAAAGGTGTTCTTTCTTATTTGGCCTTATTAGCTGTGTAGGCCACTAGGCTTTGGTGCCTCTCTTCTTTATGGGATAAGTGTAAGGGAGCTGGAATGGATTTACAAGTTAGAAATGCACAAAAAAGGAATGGTGCTCTCTTTACCAACATTTGTTTTATTGTTCTTAAAAATGAGTCAGTTAATAGAGTAGGAGCCTACTTTAACTATTAGAACATTTCTTATTATTGTTTTTATTTGTTAAATACCTGTGAAGAATGAAAGGTTGGACACCACCAACGTTTTGCAGTTTTTTTTTTGTGTAACTTTCACACCGTCTCCTATGAAAGGATGGCATTTAAGAGGCGTCATATTTTTGTAACATATTTGTGCTAGTGTTAACTTTGTAAGACTGTCACTTCCAGCCAGTCCAGGAAGTTGAATATCCAGCCAAAGTAGAACTAACTTTACTGCACAGATTTAACATTTAATCTTCCACATCCATGCTGCTGGAATGGCATTCTGTTCATTGTGATAATCACACTGTATCTTGTAATAATGTGATTGCTTTTTTCTCAAAATAATTAATATTACAACTTTAATGTCAGTGCTATGATTTTATTCTCATAATTTTGACTTCATTCTCAAAATATTACTACTTTAATCTTGTATTATGTGGTACTAAGGCTTCACAATACAAACATATATTGTTTCTTTTTCCTTTGTTCTTTTTTTTCTGATCCCAAACAAATCACTGAGTAACTGAGCACTGAGTAAATTATTATTTTTTTAATTCCTTTTTCCCCACATTAGTATAGGTGACTCTGCCAACAGTGAAATCTCATTGATTAAAAATCCTGCTCCATTGTATATGTAACATCAAATATGAAAATATTCCATGATTCAACATCATCACGGCCAATTAGGACAGTTTCAGTCAGGACAAACAATAAAATTATGTCAATGGAAACTTATTGCATTGCACCTGGTTTGGACACAGCATTTTAGAATATTTCCTCTTTCTCCCTACATTAAAGAGCAACTAATCCCACAAGTCTCTCTTAGGCAAATGCTGCCTTATGACTCATGCTTCTCTGAAGCACTCAATGCTCTTTGGGACAACAGTTAAAATGCAGCGAAGAGCTTTAAAATATGGATCCAGGACGCATTTCATTCTTTACAGATACTCTTTAGACCCACACACTAATGGTGTAGGTATACTTAGATCTAGAGATGTCAAACTGATGTCTGACAGTTGAAGAGAGACAGAAAGTTTTGCAGACAGGAATCTGATAAAAGTCCAATCAGATGACTCCAGGTTGAGTTATGTGTGTGCGTCTCTGTCATGCTTCACTCTTCCTTTGAAGCACAGGAAGAGCGAGAGGAGGATAAGAATTAATTAGCTCTTCAAAGCAGAGCATGTTGATGTATTCCCACTGTGTCTCTGTCTGCAGAAGTCTTGCATCATGGCTGTTTATCGTACTCTTTGTGGTAGCATCACACAAATATTGTAGAACCATGTTACTAATGCAGACCTTTATGCCACCCTACAAATATTACTTGAGTAAACACCGAGACCTTGTTCAATATCGTGTCACTATGACACATTTCTGTCTCTGTGCCCAGTGAGTCAGTGGGTTAACAGACAGCAGTTTTGTATGGAGGTGAGGAAACTGCTTCAGACTGATTCTTTCCAAGACACCATAATGTCTCATCTGATAATCTAGAACAAACTCAAGTGAGCTTTAGAGGGCTTTAGAGTTTAGAGAATATTTAAATTCAGCATTAAACAACACTCACAACCAATTTTGCTTCCATAATCCGATGAATTTGTGAACGAATCAAGACAAAAAAAATGTGGGTCAGGACTAGGGGTGTGTGATATACTGTCTACGATAATATCGCACTTATTGTTTTAATGATGTGCGAGCTGTGCACAAAACACACTCTGCATTGTCTAAATATCATTATACAAAAAATCCAGGAAATATTGAGATATCACTTTTTCGTCAATATCACACACCTCCAGTCAGGACTAGATTTTATGTTTTGGAAATTGATTTGATTAAGAAAAGTGTCTCTATTACAGGTAGGTTGGATGGGAGAAGTTAAAAAATAAGAAGGCTTGTTGACATCAGTGGAAAAGGGAAGTTGTTTCAGAGGTGGAGCAAGTTATTATATGTTGATCAAATTTTATGAAGTAAATCTATGAGGTGAATTTTGATTGCATGTTGACTTTAATGAAAACAATCCTTATTTCTGTAGTTCTAATTTGAAAGTAGTGACAGCATTATATGTACTTCCTTCAACCTTGTATCGGACACCATTTTTATATTTTCACCAGCAGGATTGTGGGATATCATAAACTTTTTTCAAATACTGACCAGTTGGAGGAATCTCGGTAGACAGAATGGGCATTCGATTCAGACTTGCCCTTTGGATACTGTTTGATGAAGTGGCATTAAGATTTTGGGCACAGCTGTACAGACTTTGTCCTCTGTGGTTCTTAGGGCTGCACGATTCTTGCTAAAATGTGAATCACGATTTTTCTCCATGGGAATTGAGATCACGATTCTCATTTTTTCAACCAAAATTTATTGCACTCAAGTACAAAAACAAAACAAAACACAGGACTCGAGCTGCACGATTCTGGATAAATTGAGAATCACGATTTTTTTTTGTCTCAAATAGAGATCACGATTCTCCCACAATTCTGAACTAAACAAAATAATGTGTGGCAAAATATTATTGCTGCAGTCTATTTAAAAGTGTTTAATTAATTTGAATGAAGTATTAACCATTTTAATATACACTACCAGTCAAAAGATTTTGAACAGTAAGATTTTTT